AAAAAATATTTTTTAAACTCATTATTTTAAATTTTATTTTGGTTCTTTATATGAACAATCCTTACAAATAATCATTACAAAAATCTTACAGACAAAAGGCACAGTAAAGCTGTGAAGAAAAAGAAAACAAAGTATAAGCAGTGTATATATTCAACTATAATTCTTGGTACAATTATAAGTTCTGTTAGTAATTGAAACTTAATTTTCAGTGCTATTTTTACATTAAGCATATGCATGTAGGCTTTTAGGACAATGCAGAAAATTTTGAAAATGTTTGCTTTAAAGGTTTAACCTTTTCACAGCAACTGGGACAAATGTTTCCCATTGTCATTCAAAATTGCCACGCATAACATATGGGAGTAAAATGAGTTGGAAAGTATTTATTGGCATCCCACCTATAGTTGATATATAGTTTTCCTCAATATTTTCCACTCAGCTCTTCGGTAACCAACAAGATGCTAATTAGAATAGACGACAACTGCGTGCCAATCATGCCTGCATCACTAGAGCAGCAAGTAGTAACCCTAATTACTATATAAATATGTTTGATGCACTTAACTCAGATAGCTTAATAAGATAGTGAAACTGATAGTATTCAAAGCATGATGATGAAGAGGCAAGAGGATGCGAGCTCTCCATCTAGTGATGATAATCAAGATGATGAACCCGGCCCCAGCACAGGCAGGCATAAACAGCGTGGACAGTTTGGGACAAACATTTCCCCCCGCAGTGAATAAGGTTAATTGTAACTACTGATGTTATATTATAAAATGTTTTCAGCATCCACAATCAGTAGCTTATAGTTTATCTGCCTACTAAACGGGAAGCTAGTGTCAAGTAAAGAACACACAGCTAATTGTAGCAGTGTTTAACCCTTAAAGTTTGTAATGTGGTATGTTCCTGTTTGAGGGCTTGAGTTATTTATAATGAAATATGTTTATGGTGTTTAATTGTTTTCAATTTTTAGTAGGTAACTTGATTTGCCTTATAAGCTTAGTGTTGCTTGAGAACTTCCCAGGCATTGGGTATCTTGTGGCAAATAAGAGTGAAAAAAACAACAAAAAAATTCATAATCTGTGTAATCCCCTACTACATTTAAGAAAGTATTTTTGCAACTTGTTAAATTATGAATTTTGTCAAACTTTTTAACTCATTTAAATATTGAATATATGAGTGAAAGTTTTAATATTCTAAGAAAAGGTTCTATTACTTTGTCTCTCTATTTGATGGTATTATACTGTTTCAAGTTTTTAATTTCTTTTTTAGTGACATGGCATGCAGTGTAGCAGGTATCACCTCTGATGCAAATGTTCTCACAAATGAACTACGGCAGATTGCTCAAAGGTATTATGTTAATACATGCATGTGTAATGATTGACTACCGTGTAAGAGATGTTTCAAGGTTTTTTCAGTAGGATACTTGTACTATGAATTTGTAGAAAAATAAAAGGTAATGAAGTCACTGGTCTTTGCATATATATACAAAATAGAAGAGATATCAAATGTATGTCTGCATTTCATGTCTACGGCTTTGGATCCAGTTTCAGCCAAATAGGAAATGGTGTTCATATTTG